CCCGTCCGCGTTCACCACCTGCTGCTCCTTCCCGGCCCGGGACAAGACGGTGGCCACGCTCCGCCCGCTCAGGTGGGTGTGCAGCTGGGAGGCGAAGACGCGGATGCCGGCGGGGGGCAAGGCCTGGGGAGAGGCGCGCGGGATTGGAGGGTGTGTGTGTTAGGGGTCGCGATCAGGCAGCGGGCCCGCGCCCCGAGGAGCCTCCTTTTCCTTTCGGCCCCAGGGCTGGACCAGGAGCTGCCCCTGGAGGAGGAAGATGGGGGGGGCCCTTGCAAAGTGGCCCATGGCCGATGCCCCTAAGGGGACCCTCTTGGAAAAGCAGCATCACTTGGGGTCCCTTCCGGGGCTGCTTGTTGCTTTTATTTTACCGCTTCTGAAGGAAAAGGGGGGATCCATGGGATGAGGCGACTCCTCAGAGGACAGAGAAGTAGAAAAACCACTGTCAAAATGTTTTCAAATGCTCAGAGACGGAGTTCCCCAATCGGCAATGGCATATGGACCTCTGGTCAGTTTTGAAATCAGCTTTTAAACCAAATCTCACCTCCAGATTCCACCCCACCCCCACCCCGCTCCCAGATTTTGGGACCTCCTTTTCTTTTTCTTGCATGGGGGGGGGCTGTCATTTCTTTCCTCCTGTTTCCTAATCCGTCTTTCTCTTTCGAAGTTGGGGGTGGGCCTGCCTGTTTATTTCTTTGTGTTTCTGAGCTGGTTTCTCTGGCCCCGTTTTATGGTGTCAAGGTTCAAACACTATTTAAAAATGCACTTTTAAAAACGCCTCAGGAAAACCGCAGGGTCCCCTTGCTGCCCGCACGCTCACCAGCTGGGTGCATTTATCTGTGCAGTAGCCCGTCAGGTGAAAATGGGTCTCTCCGGGCGGGATGGCCATCACCGGGGTGTACACCAGGCCCAGTTCCATGATCCCGGCATCATAGGGTCGGAGCGAGGCCGTGTAATAAAGCCGGATGCCCGAGGAGTCGCGGCGGCCTGGAAATGGGAGAAGAGGCCCCTTCACCAGTTAGGACTGGTGGCTGAGGATCCTCTCGTGCTGGTCCTGAGCTTTGCTGGCTCCCTCCCTCTCCTCACAGGTGGAAGGGACTAAGGTGCGCCCAGCTGAGGCTGGAAGAACTGAACCGGTCTGGCTCTGGCCGAGGGCTAGGTTGGGCACCCGGTCACCCCTCCCTCCCTCCAGAAGAAATCAAAACAGAGGCAAAAGGAACACCCTGTTGAAGGGTTCTTCACCCTGGGGAGTCTGGCCAAGGACACGCAACTAGCAGTTTGGCTACCGACAGACACCCACCCACACCCCAAAATCTGTGGAGGTGTACCCGCCAGGGACCGGAAGGGGATCCCCATGGCCTTCTCTGGGTGCACGTTTTACAGGAAGAGGATGGCTGCTCTTTCTGACTGCTTTGAAGGTCCGGCCTCCATCTTGGGTAAATTGAATAGATAAGAAGAAGCAGGCAGATACTTCACCCGTTAAAAGAAAAGAACCCGCAGCAAACATGTGATTATTTATAGCCAAGTGTGATCTGCCTGAAGAACAACACAGATGCTTCCATCTTCTAAAATTACTCTCCAGGAGCCCAACGGGGAGCGGCTTCAAGCACATGGGAGCGCTGCAGTCCCTTTGTGTTTCGTTCTCCCAAGGCCCTCACCCTGCCCACCTGCCACCAGCAGGACCGCCGGGCCCGTCCTTGGCTCCTGAGTTTGCCGGGTTCACACCCCCTCCGTTCCAGCTGTGAGCCCCCTCTTTGAAAGCAGCCCCTGAAGTTGGGTTGGCCCCTGGAGTCTGGGGAGTGACTTTAGGCCTGTTTGTGGCAGGGCACGGGCAGCCTGTGGTCCTGTCCACCTGCTCGGAAGCTCCTGTCTGCACGAAAAGGTGCTCATCTCTTCCGAGTGGAGATGCGGCAGCAGCAGCGCTGGGGGCTGCCTGGGAGTCTCGCCCAGCCAGTGCCTGAGGGCACAGGAGTTGGATCTCACAGGGCCCCAAGGGGAAGGGGAGCCTTGCGGGAAGAATAGCAGAGGGCATCAGGGACCACCCTCCCTCCCTCCCGCAGGCCCTCCTCAGCCCGAGAGGGGCCTGTTTCTCTCGGTTTGGCCCATCCAGAAGGGGTTTCAGGAACCTCCGCCTGCAGTGGCTCACTTCGTAAAAGGTAATTCTTGTTCTCTCCCACCCGATTACACCCACCCACACCTCTGTATAGAAGTAACCAGTTACAAGTTAAATAGCTTTGGCTAGTTACTTGGGGTAGCAAGCAAAGGTAGCTTGCAGTTTAAAGGTTACTTTTAGGTGTGCAGAGTGACAGTTAAGCGACTTTGCCGCAAACGCATCAGTGCCCAAAAGTTATTTTAAATGAACAAGTAAAAGACTTTTACAGGCACTCAGGAACTTCTCAAGATTTGGTCCATTCTGCTATCACTCCCCACGTGGTCAGGGGAGGATTCTCTAGTTTTATTGTCTGCCTTTTTACAAGTTTTTCAAAAGTGCAGTACCTAAATCGGCCTTTATAGGGGAGCAGAGGCGAATTCCCTGTCATTTTCTGGTCTGTTTGGACTGTAATTACAGGGCAGCGGTCCATAATGAATTAGCTACAAGGAGGGCTGCCTGCCCGCCTGGGTCCAGCATTGAGAGGCAGGGAGGGGGTGCTTCAGCGCAGACGGCAGCTGCCGATCGATCGATCGCTGCCAATTGATGGATTCCAAGGGGGAGCTTCGCCTCCATTTGCACTTGCTTTGTTTAGGGTGTGTGTTTGGGAGAGACAGCAGGCCTTCACCTGTGGGTCAGATCTCTCAGGGGGCAGCAATGAAAGATCCCCCAGCCTGGAGGGATGAGGCTGTCAATGGAGAGGGTTCCCCTTCTCCTCCTGATGGAGTCTGGCCTTCACTGGAGCAAGAGGGGCAGGTGGGGGAGAGGGACGCATTGCCTTGCTTACCTTTAAGCTCCAGGGGGTTGTGGTAGTGGACTTCCAAGCGCAGGTACTTCGAGGATCCGGGCCCTCCAAAAGCCAGGCCTGCCTCCTCCGGGTAGTAGAAAGCCTGGAAGGAAGAACGGAGGGTTGGCTGAACCCACGGCTTGCCCCAGCCTCTGGCCCCCAAGGCATGGGAGGGGTGGGGAGGTGGCTTGTGCTTTGTGAAACACTGGCTGTGGCCCCCTCCTCCCAAACACACACACCTAGAGGCGGACTGTCATAATACAAACCCTTCAGGTCTCCCGTGGCCACCAACCCAAACACCTCCAGGAAGGCCCACTAGAGTCGACCCGTCTGCTTTCCGTTCCATTTGACTTTAGTGACAAAAAAGGAGGAACCGTGTGGAAAAGGAACCCCCCACCCCCCCCCAAGGCAGGTTTCCTGCTGCTGACCGGGAATCAGCGAGAATGCTTTGGTCCAACCAAGAGAGGGGGTGGGATTGGAAAGGGCCGGGGGGGGCCGTCCCGAGGAGCAGACCGCCGGCCTTTTGGAGCAGCGCCCCGCACCTGCGCCCCCATCGCCCAGGCGGCCAGGACGTGCCGGCAGTAGTTGAGCCGCTCCGGCTTCATCTTGGCGTCGCAGGGCCCGTTGTAGTGCGGGAAGGTCTGGAAGTGGGCGTCGCATTGGAACACCTCCATGTGGTGGACCAGCGCTTGGTTCCCCGGGGTGACGATGGGCTCGTACTGCAGAGACAACAAACGGCCGTGAAGGGTGGCCTGAGAGGCCCCGGCCCTCGCGACTCTGGCTGAGATGCAGGGGGTTCGGAAACAGCCACAGCCGCCACCGCTGCCTCCTCCACACCCACCCTGCAGGGTTGGCCGGGGATCACACCCCTCTGCCGTCCTCCTCCCCACCCTCTTTGTAGCCAAGGGCCTTGGCTCTCCCTCTCCTCCTTCTTTTTTTTTGGGGGGGGGGAGGAGGCAGGTGATGTCTTCCTTCTCCTCTTCCCTTCCTTCATGGAAGATGGACCGGGACTGGGGGCCTCACAAACCCGAAATGTCACACACACCCCTCTTTCCCCTGTCCTGACCCACCCTTGGCTACCAGCCCACCTGCTCCCTGCCCCCCCCCACCCCACCCCCACTGCGGTTTCCTTTGGCCTGAGTGTGCATGAAGGTCCCTCCACCAGCCGCCTCTCCCAAAGTGGGCACCTGCTCTGGCCCCACCAGGCTCTTCCTTGGCAAGATCTTGGCTCTTCTTTCAAGACGGGTGGGAGGGAGGGAGGGAGGGAGGGGCTGCTTGCCCTCTGGGCAGCTGTGACCTTGAGAACTGCCGAATTGCCACTTTGCCCCCCTCCCCTCCCCTCCCCTTGCAGTGCAGCCGACAGGCCTTGACGGATGCCCTCCGCATCTGATGACGGTGGCGTTTCGCCGGCATCGCCCTCCCGGCTGCTAGATTCTCATTCCTCTCCCCCCCACCACCACCACCACCAATTAGTGCCAGCTCTCAGGTTTCACTTCTCTCTTGGAGGCATTTTGCCACCTCAACACAAGCGGGCGAGGGAGAGGTTGACAGAGAGAGAGGGAGAGAGAATGAGAATGGCAGCCAGGTCACTTCATTGCTGCACAGGGTTTCATTTGCAAGCGAGTGGTTGGTTGTTTGGTTTCTTTGGCAAGGGAGCGTTTTCTTTAATTGAGGAAGGCGGGGGGGGGGAGTTCATGTTCAAACATGTGATTTCCACGTCCTCCTTCAATCTAGAAGCAAACCCTCTCCCCCTCTCGCTTGCGCTGCTGGTTCGTGACAGTCCCAATTTGGGGGCCCTTGAAGTATGGGGTTGATAACAGCGTAGGGCCCTAGCATATCAGCCAAGAGCAGGAGGCTCTGGCAGAGGGGAGAGAAACAGAAGAGAAGAGCCACGAGGGGGCGGGGGATTTGGGGGGAAGGAAGAAAGGCTGCCGTGGATGGATAAGGGGTGATGGAAAGATGATGTCTCTGAAGGTGCCTTCCAAGGTCTGCTAGAAGTAACTTCTGAAAGTAATCAGAAGCTGTTACTTGTTCCACCAGTAAAATGACTTGGATCCTGGAAGTTACAGTCCTTTGTGATACCCCATCACCCAGGAAGTGCATTACTTGCTACTGGCTACCTCCAAGCTGCAAGATTAAAGGGCAGGAAGGCCAAGGATGGTAGAGACGTTGTGGACAGAGACCCAAAGTTTGGGTGGCCAGGGGTCATGCCGGTGAGATTCCCAAGGCGGGGTGTGTGTGTGTGTGTGATTGAGGGCAGGGGTCTCACCCACCATGACCACGTGGTGCTTGGCAAAGCCATCTGGGAGGTCCTGGATGTAGCACCAGTAGGTGGTCTCCTGGCCGGGGATCTCCACGTCAGGGGCTCGGACCTCCAAGGTCTGCACATCAGCAGGCAGTGGGGGGGCCTTGACCTTGGGTTTCAGCAGCTGCACCCTTTGCAGCCCCTTGTAGGGGAGGGCAGAGAAGTTGACCGCCTGGAGCGAAGGGACCGGTCTCTCCAGGATCCCATACACAAGGTGCACAGTGCCGTCCTGCAAGGGAAAGCAGAGAGCAGGCCAGGGTCACAGGGGTGGACCCGTCCGAACCACCTCCAGGAGTACCTTGGGGTCAAATTGCACACAAAGAGGAGGAAGCCTGTTCCCTTCTACAGTATTGCTATGAGGGAGCTTCTGCTGGGGACGCTGTCTCTGTGTCCTGCCCACCGCTCAAGGGAAGCGTTCCCCCCCCCAATCAGACAGACAGCCGAGACCGCTTGGCCAGGTCCTCAGTTGCTTCCTCAGAGGAGCATATTGTTCTGCGGCTCCTCCTGCCACCTTTCCTTCTCTCGGGGCATCTCACCCCCCCACCCTTGTTTGGGGTGTGTGTGTGTGTGTGTGTGTGTGTGTGTGTGTGTGTGTGTCACTGTTGGGCCCTCCTTTTTATCCAACCAGTCCGAACCCTTTTGTTGCCTGTGAACCTCGAGGTGCAGTCTCCAAAGGCAGGCATTTTTCTGAACTTTTCAGAGCCAGCTGCATTGGAGAGAGCAACCAACCAGGCGTGCAGGGGGTCACCTCTCCCAGCCATGAGGTCCAAGGTCTGGCCGGCTGGTGCCATGATGCCTAAAGGTGCCCAAGCCGCTGGAGGGCGGAAGGAGGGCCCCCCCGTACCTCAATGAGGTAGTCCCTGGGGTCGCAGGTGTCGAAGGGCCTCTCAAAGATCAGGGAAAGGCCCTCGGCTGTCTTCCAGGCCCTGAGCAGCTGGTAGCTCTGCTGGGGATCCATGTGCAGTCGCCCGTCCTGGTCGCTCCAGGCGTCCTGGGAACAATGAAAACGAAGCATGGGTGGCCACGGTGCAAAGGAAACCAGAGGCTGGCGGGTCTGGTCTCGCCAAAACCTTTCCTGAGTTTCCTGCATTGGCCAAGGGTGGCCGTTGGATCGCCTCCTGGACAGCTCCGTGGAAGGCAGGCCTTGACGACACGGGAGGTTCCCCTGGGCTTTCCCTGATGGGCCTTTCTAATCATGGTGCACAACATCCTGTTAGAATTCTCCTTTAGAGAAAGGAAAGCCCCCTCACGTGAACGTGGTTTTATCCACCATGTCTAGTTGTAGGATCCCTTGCCGGACGGATTAGCTCTCAAGTGCAGAGTTTGGTCGCCAGCCTAAAGTGCAGCATTTTACAGCATGGTTCAAAGCTGGCTGCAGTTAGGCTTCTGTGCATTTCTTTTCTTTCTAAAAGACGGCCAGAGAAAGCGCCTGCAGAGGCCGCTTCATCCTGCTGGACGTTGGGCTCTTTGTGCCTCTCCTTATGCCCACCCCCTAAATTTGGTGCCATTCAGCTTGACAAAGAGTTCTGGAGAACACGAATGCTCACCACATTGGCGACCCCCAGTATCACACCCAGCTCTAAATTTTGGAAAAATCCTGCTGGACGTTGGGCTCTTTGCGCCTCCCCTTATGCCCACCCCCTAAATTTGGTGCCATTCAGCTTGACAAAGAGTTCTGGAGAACACGAATGCTCACCACCACATTTGCGACCCCCAGTATCACACCCAGCTCTAAATTTTGGAAAAAACCCCCCTTGCAAGTCTGTGCAGAGGCTTGCTCTTTCCTTTCTAAGCAGAAGAGGAGACACAACAGAGGAGAAGCGAAGCAGGTGCAGAGGGAGGGGGACCGATCCAGAAATAACATGGGGAAGGATGGGCTCAGCCACCATGGAGACAGGGAGGAACGTGGGTGGAGGCCTCTGGGCCCGCTCGTCCTTCCCAGGCGGCATGGGGCTCTCTCCAAGGAGGGGGAAAGGGTCACTCCTCGGGCATCCCATGGCTGCAGACCCCATCGGGCTGGGCTAGAGTCAGCACCAAATATTTCCTAACTCTGAGCACAAGTTAAAATGCAGAGGCTCTGCCCAGGGCATACACCTGGAGGAGACGAAAACGCTGTGTATCATTCCAGCGATATGTGCACCACATACGCACACGCACACATGACTCTGGAAGAGCATTTCACGTACTTCTAACCTCCCACACATACATCAACAGAAGGTCCCCGCCCACATTGTTTCCCCCACAGCCCTCACATCCATCCAAGATGTAGGCACGACTCTCGATCAGAACTATTAAAAGTTCGACCAGATGGGAAGAATCCTGACCCTTCGCTACCCAGGCCCAGAGCCAACAGCTGCTGACCTGAGAGCCTGGACACCCCCTGCCCATCACAGCCCCGGGGGGGTGGGTTCCCTGCTGTTTCTTTCCTGGGGAGGGAAGGGCCGTTTCTCCCCAGAGAAGAGGGAAAGGTCAAATGATAATGAATGAATGCGTATTCCACCTCTCTCTAGTGCAACCTATGGAATACGTTCCCCTGCTGAAGAGTTCAGGCTAAGTGCGGATGAAGCCCCAGCCCCCTGCCCTGCCAAGGCCTCCGGGAGAGAAAGGATGCTCCAGGTGACGGCTTACTCACGGCAAAGAAGGAGTGGCTGCCGTTGCTCCAGAGGACGGCCAGGTCTGCGTTCACAAAGTCCCCTCGGTCGGACATGCCGAAGAGGAGCCCGGATTCCAGCTTGTGGAGGGCGATCTGGAACGTGACCTCCCCGCGGGGGTAGCTGACGCTCCAGGAGAGCTGCAGGAGGCCCCGGGGGTCCAGGGGCACTCGGTAAGGGAAGTCGCGCTCCTGCGGATCGGTGCCCTGCAGGGCCACCACCAAGAGGACCAGGAAGGCGACCAGCAGGGTGAAGTACACCGAGACGGCTTCACGGAGCTTGAGGGTGGGGCAGGAGAGGGGGGCCCCCAGCCGGCCGCTCTTCCCAGCTAAGGTGCGCATCCTGGGCAGGGGCGGCAGGCGGAGGAGGCCACTCTTCCCGGCTTGCCCTTTTTATAGGGGAGGCTTTCAGGCAAACGGGGAAGTTAATGCCCCTTAATTGCATTTCACGGTTGGGAAATCGGATTGTGACATCGACCCTCCGTCGCCCACGGCCACTCCGCCTCCCCGTTGTCCAAACACTTGTCCTTCTGTGTTTCTCCTTAATTGGCTCTAATTGCACAGGGACCTTATCGGGGCCACTGAACCAGACGAAAAGGATTCGTCCTCCTTCTCTGTCTGGCTGTCTGCGTAGCCGGAGTTTCCGGCCAGGAGGTTCTGCCTGCAAAGCACGTGGGGCCCGGCTGGCCTCTCTCTCCTCCTCTCCCTGCCCAACAGTGGGCTTTCCTTGTGGCCAGGTGGTGCCCACCAAGGAGTCATGCCACCCTGCTTGCCCGCCTGCCCGCCTTGCCTGCCCGGGTGCAAAGGGGCTCCAGGTGGGCACAGCAAGAGTAAAGATTCCACACAGGGACGTCCATCTCCTGCAAGGCCTGCTTGATCGCAGCAAAAGGCAGCAGCCAAAACATGACTCAGAAGGTTTTGTGTGTGTGCAAGAAGAACATGGGGAAGAAAGGGGGGCAATTTGTTTCTCCTGTCCCCCCCCCATCACATGTTTGTCCTATGCCTGGAAAAAAGTGGCGGGTGGGGAAGCAACTTGCCTTCTTTTGAGGGGCTTGGCAGCAAAAAGACATGGCCAGAAGCAGCCGCCCTCCGGAAAGCCTTTGCCCTCCCACCCACCTCGGCTGCCATTCCTCACAGCCGTCCTCTTTCCTTTTCCCTCCATCCCTGGGGAGAGCCCGGGGGCAGATCCCCTTTCAGGCTCCTTCAGCCGGAGGTGGCAGCGGAAGTGCTGAAGCAGCAAAAGGAAGCTTCCCCTGGAGATCTGATACCCAGAGACAGAGAAGCAGGTTTTGTGCAGGCTGGGTGGGGAGGCTGTTGGGGGGAGGCAGGCCCACAACAGGTCCGTGGGTGTGGGAAACCTCGCAGACCTACATGAACCAGAGCCTCAGTGCAAAGGCTTTTGCTCCCCTGCACAAAAGCAGCACCCAGAAGCAGGAGAGCGCTCCCTGGCCTGGCACCCTTAAGCCTCATCCTGTCTCAGGCGGGAGCCTCCAGGCCTAACCTGGTCCTGCCAGCTGGTCCCAAATCTCTCTTGGCTTCTGCCCCATGGCCTGGTCCCTGGGCTCCCCAGTGGCTGCTGTCCAAGGGGATGAGAAGAAACCCTAAGATGGTCTGCGTGGCAGATTCCACCTAACTCCACCCGTTCCATCCCTGGGAGTCCCTTGGTGTGGGAGTGCATACACCTCCCTTTCTGAAGAGCCTCCGCGTCTGCCCTATAATTTAATACCTTCACCACCCCCGGCCCACCCAGGCCCTCACTGGTCGGTCTTCCAGAGATCAAACACCGGCTTCGCGTTCCAAGCGTTTATCTACAAATGCTTCTCTTCTATTCAGAAGCAAGAACATTTTTATCTTTTTACATTTGCACTGTAAAATAGAATTAATCGCCGCACGTGCAATGTTTAACCAACACGGAGCAGACTCGGCTGTGACACAGAAGCGTGTCTCTTCCCATCTTCAGAGGGGCTACAGTGGCTGCAGCTGAAACAAAACCCATTTAGACCTTGAGAAAGAAGCTGGTCCCTGTGCCGCAAAATTTTCCTGCATCAAAGTGGACAGAATCAAAGGCCACGAGGTGGGTGAGGAAGGAAAGCCATGCTCCCCTAAATCCAGGCTTTGTCTAAACGAAAAGAGGAAAAGCCTGCAGAACACGGCAGCCTTGTAAGCACTTTTTGGTTCCCGGCAGGGGCCCACCCCAGCCGAGTTCCCTGGCTGGCTACCTCCAGCACTGCCGGCTCCTCGTTGGCACCCCGTCCCGTCCCGCCACCAGCCAGCCGCCACCCCTGCCTCGGCCCAGCCCACCTTCTCCCCGTGCTCTTCAGATGGTGATCCTCCCTGCCAGTCAGTCATGAATAGGCCCTCCGTTCAGTCAGAGGCACCTCCCACGCCTATCATTAGCACCATTATTGTTATTATTCCCCTTTAGGATCCAAATAACATCCCAGAGAGGCCCGGGGTTTGAGTAATCACTTGCACAAGTCAAAGAGAATGTTGCCGCGTCCTTTCTCTCTCTGCCCCCCCCCCAGGTTGTCCTTGCTTGTTCACATGCCAAGGAATGAACTCAGGGAACAGACGCCTCCACAAAGAGGCCCACAAGGAGTCTTCAAGGGCAGCCCCAGGTGGCAAGAGAAGCAGCAGCCTGTTTTTAAGAAAAGAAAAGAAATCTCAAAAGGTTGCGCTTGCAGGCAACGAGCAGGGCTGTCGTTCTGGGTTAGCGTTTCTTTTCATGCCCCTCGGCCACTTGTGTCAAGAGTTCCTGGATATTTATGCTGCTAATTCCTTTCTCCCTCTTGAACACACACCTTAAGGTGGTGTGTGTGTGTGTGTGTGTGTGAGAGAGAGAGAGAAGCAGCAGCAGCAGAGGGCAAGGCCACCAGGAGGCTGGGCTCCAACACCGATGCGGGACCGTTGCAGCCGAGAGAGCCCCGACGAAGAGGCGCCTGACTCCGCACAGGGCTGCTTCCTAAGTAGATGCTGCCGAACGAACGTGGTCCAAGTATCACCAGGAGGGACAAGCTGTCTTGTGAGAAGGATCTTCATGCTTTCTTTGGGTGTCTGCTGGTTGCCATGGAAGCAAGGTGTCCACAGGCCCACAAATAGATACACTCCTGAAAATAGCAAACTCTACATTCCTGTTTTTATTATGTTTACTGAACTCTGGGCTTCCCCTTTCCCCTTCCAACGATGATTTTCCCAGATCTTTCTTCTCCCCCCCTCACACAGAAATGCATCTCCTCTGGGCAACAGTGGACAGGACCCCCACGCACAGCATGGGGGACAGCGTGGTCCTTAATCGTTTTTTTTTCCATGTGGACCTCCTCCAAAATGTGGTTCTTATCAAAATGTGTGTGACCCGGTTCCTCCTCGCTAACCCGAGGCTGGAGAACCTCACAGCCTGGTTGGCAGCAACTCTGTCTCTGTCTGGTTTCATCCACCCTGACCTCCCGATTCTTGAAGCAGGAGGTTTCTCCCCCCCCTTCCTGCTCGGTTTCTCCTTCGAGGCAACCACGAGTGAAGCAAAACATCCCCTTTGTTCCTCCTTCTGTGAGTAAATTATTCTAGCTTTCTGCGTGTTACAAGTTCAAAATGATTTCTTGGCATTTATTGTTTCACCTTGTAACGCCACGCTGGTCGTCCTCTTGCTCCAGGAAAGCCTCAGCACCACCAAGCAAGGAGGCAAAGGCCTCTCTCCTTAACTCGGCCACCTGTGCTGAAACCCAACCTCCCGCGCCTCCCCCCCACCCGGGTTCTGCTCCCTAGACCCTCATTCATTCAAAAAAGCAACACCGAGAACCTTTGCCTCAGTAGCTCACCTCAGCAGCTCCTGAAATAAGGAATAAAGGGGAAAGGAAGAGATTATAATGGCAACCATCATGTCTAAATTAGGGACACACCTCGCCCCTGGCCTTCAGGGAGATGCTGCTTCTTGCTACCTCTTCCGTTCCTCAAGGTGCCTCATTCCAGATTTGGGGTAGTGGGTTAAGGTTAGGGTTAGGGTGAGCAGCTCCTTCTCCCCCCCCCCGGGGAAAACTACCCAAGGGGACGGACTTCTTCCAGAAAAGTAGCCCGGAGGTCTCCTTCCTTTTCCCTCTCGAGGTTCTGATCCCCACCGGACGCCTGTTGTGTGTGTATGTGGGGGGGGCGACTCTTCCAGGCCTGACAAGGAGGGGCCGCGTTGCCCTTCGAGCCCATTTGGGGGGTGGGGGCGGAGAGACGGGCCCT